AAAGCATGCATTAACTCACAGCAGCATGGCAGCAGCAGGACTCTTAGAGAAGCATTGAAATTGAGACCCCCCCCCCCAGTAACCCATATATTTGTCCATTTGTTCTAACAGGCAATGCAGTACATTTAATCAGTCCCACTCAACATGGCCAGTGTTCAAGGATGATGGGAATTGTAGTCAAGCAATATATGGAGTGCACTATATTGACTATCCTTGTGTTAAGCCATGGTTTGACTTAGCTTTAAGTCTGAACTGAACTATTGTTCCAGTTACAGATGGGTAGCCGTGTTGGTCTGCCATAGTCAAAACAAAAAAAAATTCCTTCCAGTAGCACCTTAAAGACCAACTAAGTTAGTTCTTGGTATGAGCTTTCGTGTGCATGCACACTTCTTCAGATACACTATTGTGTAATTCAGGCAATCACAAGACAAAGAGTTCTTGAGCTTGAGCAAGATTACTGTTTTGAGTGCCCTCAGATAATTTCCTGTGACCCAAATAAGCCCCATTACATTACATTACTGGAGAAAAATGGTAGAAGCCTCCCTCTCTTCTCCCTCCCCAATGCAAAATAAGGTCACCTGTATGAAAAGGTATGTGAAGAGTTCAAGAATTCAGCTCAGGCATGTCTAAAGTTTGTCAGTAGACTTTGAGACTCTTCGTCTCAAGGTTGTAGGTTCAAGCCCATTCCTGCATTGCAGGAGGTTGGACTAGATGACCCCTGTGGTGCCTTCCAATTCTATGATGCTATGAATCCATTATATGAATCTATGAATATTATAGGATCCTTACTGAAATGATCAGAATGACATATGTCTCATATGTCAACTCAGTAGGGTGGAACACTGCATCTTTTCAGGCTTGGTTGTACAAAAGAAAGGGGAACAGGGAAAAGTTGTTTATGTACTGCTTTATCCATTGTTTATAGGCAAGCATATACAATACAAATATCCAATACAAATAGTCAAGAAATTACATAAGTAACCAAATAACTATATTACTATTTCAATCCAAAACCACTAACAAAATCATCCATTATTAAAAACAAAAATGGGCCTTCTGAAGGCTGATGCACATCTAATGAAGCATAAAATTGATTTTAATTTAACTAGAGGCTTTAATTTGTGGTTGGAGTTCTTAGAGGGACCTTGTGTAATGCCATATAGTTGCCAAGTTGCCTTCATAACCACTATTATACTAAAAGTATACATATCTGAAGTAGAAGCATAGGTCCAAATATTCATTGTCAAGTTCAGATAACTCACCAATTTAACTACCTCAGTTGTCTTGCAAAATAAGCAGGGGAAACAGGCTGATGATCAAAATGGTTTCATCTCATTTCAAAGAGTGAACAGAATTTGCACCTCATTTGGAATTGCAGCTCTTAGTTAAGTCACCAAAGCTACAGAGAAAAATGGTGGAGTTGTTTGGCCTTACTGCTCTCCAGCATCATGTGTTTCTGGAAACAGTGGCACAGTGACTTTAAAGCTCTGGAGAACACCTTGGGGATCTTTTCTACACAGCATCAGAAGAATTCTCCAGGTGCCCACAGTGAAAATAAGACCCCATCTGTTGTGCATTAATGAAGAAGTCCTGCCCAAAGCATCTAACAAGGGAAAACCACAAAGCAAAATATCAACCCAATTGCTATTTGTATATTATGAACAGAGATTAGCCAAGAACAGAGATGGGAATTTCAGGCCCAAGGATCACTTGTCTAGGCCTGCCAGGTTCTCAGTATTCTGTCCAGGCTAAACCCTCTACCAAGCCTGCTTCGTTTCCTGCTTGGCAGGGGGTTGGACTCGATGGCCCTTGTGGTCTCTTCCAACTCTATGATTCTATGATTCTAAGCCACACCTCTCACCAACCTTAATTTAATCCTTTTTAGCATTTGTATCCTGCTGGGATGTGTCCTTGAATGTGTCCTTAAAATTATGAACAGTCGGTTTGTTTTTGTTTTACTTCAGATAAATATTTTTAATAAATAAATAATCTATGGTAGCTGTTCAGAAGCATGTTGATGTTACGAAAAAGGAGCAATGCAGCAGCGAGCTCCAGATTGGCTGGAAAGCCAAACAGGATGTTGATGCTTGGGGCTGTACCGTAGGAACAAAGGGGCAGTCTATTCACTGTACTGAGCACCGGATGTTAGCTCAGAGTGTCATCTGACCTGTACTGGAAGTACAGGGGGAGGAGTTTTTTTCTCTGCTCTGCTGTTGGTGTTAAGAGAGTGCAGACATGTTTCTCTGTACTGCTGGAAAAGACAGAAATAAAAGCAATAAATACATTTCTGTCTGTCTCTTTCCCCTCCCTGGGGATGGCAGGGAGGAGGGCAAGAGTGGTGTGTTCTTCTCACGTTGAGGAGGATCGCCGATAGAGATCTCCCCTGCATCTGCCGGGAGTCGCAGACAAGGAGGTCAACAAGGAACTCAAGCCGGGTGCCTGGAGAGTGCAATCTGGGTGCAATCTGGCCAACGGGACACAAAGGGACCTATTTGTGCCCATGGGAGCCAGTGTGGTATAGTGGTTAAGAGCGGTAGTCTTGTAATCTGGGGTTCGCTTCTCTGCTCCTCCTCATGCAGCTGCTGGGTGACCTTGGGCTAGTCACACTTCTTTGAAGTCTCTCAGCCCCACTCACCTCACAGAGTGTTTGTTGTGGGGAGGAAGGGAAAGGAGAATGTTAGCTGCTTTGAGACTCCTTCAGGTAGTGATAGAGCGGGATATCAAATCCAAACTCTTCTTCTCCTTCTCCCATGCACGTGACCCAGAGTTTCCTCTTTCAGCACATGCATTCGGAACACCTGCCCACCTCTCCCTATATTTTGGGCTTGCATGCTTGACCTTGCTATGCCCTCGTGTGTTGTCTGTCATTAGGACAGGGGCACGGCAGGAATTTTCCCCACTTGGCTGATTGGCTGTTGCCATTTGGGTTTCGCCTGCCGCATAGCAAATCGTTACAACTTGTAAGGTTGCGGATAGGCTCTGGTTCAGGTGATAGGGATGGGAGAATGCTCTCGCCATCCCTATGTGAAGGGTATTCCATTAAAGGAATCCAGGGACTCAATAGTTTGGTCAACCCCTGAGAGGAGGTTGTGCCCGTGCCTGAGTCCAGGGGGACATTTGGGTGGTGGAGTTAGCCCGTTCCTGGCTTTCCGCGTATCCAGGTGTTCACCCTTGGCTGGAACCCTGGGTCAGCGCTACCTGCATAGCAGGGAGCTAGTCAAACCAGAGCCTATGCAACCAGTCACTTTCTGTAATCAATAAAGATGTGGCCAAAATTCTACCAAAAACCAAAACCAAATTTGAGTCAAGTGTGAATTTATTTAAGTGGCAGTTTCTGGGTCTGAACACGTAAATAAATAATCTGTGGTAGCTGTTCAGAAGCATGTTAGATGTAGAGTGATTTCTTTATTCCTGGAGTATATAAGAGATATGTCATGAAATCATTCAACACACAAACACAAAGCATTATCAATTTATAAAGAGACCTGTGAAATAGCATAACCTGAATAGACAGAAGAGGGCAGCAAACAATAAATAAATAAGTTGTTTCATGTGACTCATTATATTTGGTCTGGTGGGGTTAGTTTCCTGGCTTTCTCTCTTTCATACTCTCCTATGATTTCCCCTCCAACACACACAAACGCCTCTGCAGTGGTGGGGGGGGGGCAGCTGACTTGCCTACAAATATATAAAAGCACCATGCAGCATTTATTTGACTGAAATTAAATCAAATGCTTCTCACTCTTGGGATTCCTGCAATGAACTGCACACAGAAAAAGTATTTGGTAAGAACTCTTTCTCTATATCCAACACAGGCTGCCATTACTAAGACTGTGGGTCTTCTTGTGATTAATCCCTTCTTGGCTTTTCTTCCCTGGCCTGTTTTCATTTCCTGGAGGGATGTCTTACAGGCCTGAACCAATGAGGAAGGGGCTTCCAAATTAATCCTCATTTACCTTGCTATGAGTTGTTGGGGGGGGGGAGCAAACTATAAGGAAAATGTGCTACTCAGTGGAAAATGTGCTCCACTCAGCTGGGTGATGTGAAGACCAGAACTGACAAAAGTTTTCATTTAAGTGTTATCTCTGCTGCAGGATTAAGAGTGTATTTTATTAATAAACCTCTTAAATTAACAGTGCTCACTCATTCATTGCTGTCCCTGAAAGCATTGTCCACAATCAAGGTAGCAATCTCAACTAGAGTTGGGAGATGCTCAACTCAATGGAACTTAACCTCCGTATAGGCATGTATAAGTTTATGGTATAAATCAACTCCTTTGCACTTCCAGACACAGCTGAGACCACCTGCCCATATAATATTGTAAAAGATATGTGTGAGGAATGAGAACACAGTTTATTACACTCACTTCAAATATGAATAGTGAGACATTTTAGGGAAGAGTTATTATGGAAGTTTGGATTTCTTATGAATGTGGTCATTTGGCATTTATTGGAATTTTGTAATATTTGAGTTAAGCACAAGTAGATGTAAGGCTGAACCACCCCAGCAGACAGCCAAATCCACTGCTCCCATATAAGCTCTCAATAAAGACAGACAGTATTCTAATATGTTGTTAGCTTTTTAGACTCCACAGCTTCCAGATTCTGTCTGACACTAACTGCTATCTCCTCACTTTTTCACACAAAGATCTAGCTTGATTATATCAATTGGCAAGCAATTTAGTTCCTATGGCAACATCTGATCTCTAATTAATAAAAGAGATCATTCACAGGCCAAGTCATAAGGCAACCTCTTGTCTAAAATTAGGATCAAGAGATGGAAAGGATCCTGGAGACCATCTAGTCCAATTCTGCCCCACAAAGTTACATTAGCATATATGCAAATAGAGAAAAATGAAACAAAAAGTTGAAGCTATTTTGCAATGTCAAAGTATTAATGCTTTGCTAATTCAATTTCCTGTTTTATCACTAATAATGTATTTTGGTTTTCCCCACTAATAATGTATCAGCAGATAAAAATCTATCTATGAAGCTCATCCAATGGGTCATGTCTGTAATGAATCCGCTCCATCTGAATTCATCTTCCTGGCATTTTCGAAGCTTAATGAATGGCGTTTTCTCTTCACTGGATTTCTGCTCATCACTTATCTCTTCACACTGATGGGGAATGTTCTGATCATAATTCTTGTCTGCTTACAACCAAATCTTCAAACTCCCATGTACTTCTTTCTGAGCAATCTATCCCTCCTGGACATCTGCCAGACTACAACCACTATTCCACAGATAATAGTGCATCTGATCTCAGGGACAAATGCCATCTCACATGAAAGATGCAAGATGCAACTCTTTTTCTTCATCTTATTCATTGGTACTGAGCCACTCCTGTTGGCTGCCATGGCTTATGATCGTTACGTTGCCATCTGCAATCCTCTCCGCTATAATGTGGTCATGAATTACAAACTCTGTGCCCAACTAGTGTCAGCTTCTTGGTTCACAAGTTCACTCAATGCCACCATCCACACCCTTCTCACATTGCGCCTGCCCCTTTGTGGTATCAATAAGATCAACTACTTCTTCTGTGACATCCCTCCCCTCCTAGCTATTTCCTGTGGTGATATCTCTGGAAATATTATTGCCATGCTGGCTGCTAGCCCTATAATGGGCATCGGACCAGGTATGTGTGTCCTCCTTTCCTATATTCACATCATCTTGAGGGTTCTGAAAATGCATTCTTCCTCTGGGATGAGGAAAGCCTTTTCAACTTGTGCTTCTCATCTCACAGTTGTCCTGCTCTTTTATGGCAGCTCTATGTTTCAATATGTCAGGCCCTTCTCCAGCTACTCACTTAGCAAAGATAGCAAGATTGCCCTTTTTAACAACATACTCTCCCCTTTGTTGAACCCACTGATCTACACCCTCAGAAACAATGATGTGAAGGGGGCACTGCAAAGGAGAATGATGAAGAAAATTATTTCCTAAAAGAGGTAGAATACACAGATAGCATGAAATCCTTAGCTTTACTTTTGAATTGTGCAGGGTAGTGGAAGTTGGAGTTCGGAGCAGTGTAACTAGGACCCAGAATGTCATTTTGTTCTGTTGGAATCAAAAGGTCTCAGGGGTGTGTTCCAAACAGTGCTGTAAAAATAAAGAAATCTGTCATTGTTTCTGAGGGGGGCACAATCCCAAAGGATATGTATTTCTATTTCATGTTCAATGCACTTGAGAAGGTTTTTAGAATGTCAATAGGAGCAGGGTTCTGCGATTACTTCAATGTTGCTAAGATGCCCAAGGTCTTGTAAATGCTTCTGCCTCATTTTTCAACCTCCCTTCCTGCCTATGATTCCTGATCAGAAAAAGACCCTTGGGAGACCTCATGATGTGTACTCCTGAGCTTGGATGGAAATTCAGGCACTCAGGAAGGATGAAGGCGAGGCTTTTCAGGTGGTGGAACTCACTGGAACTCAGTTCCTGCAGCTCTCAGGTGGACACCTTTGCCATTGTAAGAGAACAAGGGAGGTGTTCATTGTGAGCTTCTCGAACTTTCTCCCCTATAAAAATAGCACTGGATGAAGGGTTCAGACCACTGGTAAGATGATCTGTAGAACAAAATAAAAGGAGACTTGAAATTCACAAGCACTGTTCAGCCACTCCTTTTTGATATTTTTCAGTCACAATTTTCTCTATAATTGATGGAGGGTTTTTTAAAGGCGAAATTTATTTATTGCTTATACCACACTAATTTGTGAAGGTAACAATGTAAAGTTTATGTTTTTCAGGCTTATGGTACTGTTAATATAAGCTTTATCACTGTAGTCTATTTGGACTGATCTTTAGGGACTTTTATTATCAGGGACTTCACATTATTTTCTAAAAGAAAGTACTTATAAAAGTTTCTACTTTAGACAACTGCCCTCTCTGTTGTCTTTCTCTTTCAACAAGCTGTTTAAGTTGAGATCTGTATTGCATTTTTTAAATGACTTTTTACAATTGTAACTGATAAAACCAATAAAAATATATACTGCCTCTCACCGTGAAACTCACAAATCAAAGGGATTCCCCAGTGCCTGCCTCAGTGTTGTGCTGCATTTTATTTCATTCAACGTTTTCATATGCCTTGGATTTTAAAACTATGAGCTTTCCCCTGGAGAAACTCTATCTTGGCCTCCTTCTTCTCTTGTCTCCACTTCTGCCTCTGCTACAGCCTCTTCCTGTTCACTAAATCTTGTTACCTTTTCATCTTCGGATACCTCCTCTTCCCAGTCTTCTCCCTCTTCCCCCTCTGAACACACATCATTACCTCACTGCCACTCCCTAAGCTCTGAGCCTTCTTTCTTTGGTGGTTCTCCAGCTGGTTCCTCCCACCATTCCTCTACATCCGACCTGCAGTCCAGGACCTCAGCAAGGTAAGTAGAGCAGTTAATGTGCATAACCACCCATGACTGTCCAACAGTCATTGTGGAGACTATGCACATAATTGTTTGTGGAAGAGGATATTCTTCACATTCCGTAGTCAGTACACACAGTCTCCAACAGAACTTGAGAAATAGGCATACATTGACTGGAGTTTGTACATTCTCTGGCCATTGTGCACAATCCTCCAACAGATCTTACAAAACTTACTTTCCCCATAACATATAACTCTTCAAAGTTTCTAAGTGTCCTCATAGTATTTTTTAACAACTTTGTTTTCCATGAAAAATTACCAAATAATGTGACTCATTAAATTTATACCAGTGGGACTAATTTCCAGGGGGTTTTCCATGCTCCCTTTGGCTCTCCACCTCCAGGCAACCACACACATGCCACCACACGGGGGAGGCCCAACTAGCATGTTCACAAATATATACAAAAGCACTACAAAGCCTTTAATGCATTGAAAAAATATAGGATAATTTGCACACTTTGGCTTTCTGCAATGGACTTCAACACAGAGAAGGTATTCAGAAAGAACACCCCCTCCCCATTTGGGTAGCCATGGTTTAAATTACGTTTAAAGTATTCTAATTGCTAAGACTTGCAGGTATCTCAGTCTTCTGTAAATTCCACTGAATGCAAATCCGATATTTAATGCTAAGCTGATACTGAATGTGTTTCAAACTGTCTTTTTTAAGGACAATTTGAATGTAAGAAGAGCCATGTCAAATCAGACTACAGCATCATTGCAGTTCAGTATACATTTATCACAGTGACAAGCCAGATACCTAAGGGCAACCCTCAAGGAGAATATTTTAAATGTTTGATGTTTCAATGTGTTTTTGATATTTTGGTGGGAGCTGCTCAGAATGGCTAGGGCAACCCAGTCAGATGGGCGGCATATTGTTGTTATTATTATTATTTAAAAGCGGGTTCTCTGTAGTCCATTTGTGAAAAGGGTAAAACCTTCCCACCACTCCCATGGTCCTGATCTGGATTGGGGCCCTGCAAACTACTTTTCCTGAAAAAGAAATAAAGTAGTTGGTGCTTTGCTTCCGAAGCAAGATTCAAGGTGTTGCGTTGCAACTTTCCTTACTACGTGTCCAGATGAAAAAGGGTGTGGTGAGGAGATGATATCTGTTCTGTTGGGTGCCACAGTGACCTAAACTGACATGTTGGCATTTGCATTTTTGTGCTGCTGTGGAACTTAGATTGTAGTTCATTAATAGCCTTAGTCATCTTCAGCTAAGAGAACTCAGCCATTCTTCAACATGTTTCTCCATTGATACTGCAATTGTAAATGCACTTTGTTGTGAATTTTCACCATTGGACATAATTTAACTTATTTCCAAATAGATGTGCATACTAAACAAAAGTAAACAATTTATTGTATAAAAAAAATGTATTTAGTAGAGTAAGATGTGCATAACATGCATGTATTCCTGGAAATAACATTCACAAATACATTATATTAGGAGAAATGGGTTAATAAACTGTATATTATGAGAAATAGGCAGTAAAATGCTGCTGAATTTTCAAAAGGGGTTTTCTTTTAATAAGATGCCAGTTAGATGTGGAAGTGTGGAGAAGTATGGTGGGAGGTGAACTGAAATTGAAAGATTTGCCCATCCTTAGGTGAACACGCAGGCTACTCATGTAGAGATTGATATTCTGTTGGACTCAGACCACATATTTTTTTTCTTCTCAAAGAGATCTAGCCAGATTCTATAATATTTATCTGCAGTGGTTTTAATATGTATACATCTCTTAAGAGTCTGTTCCATCCATGCAGCAATTGACAAGTTATCTAGTTCCCATGGCAACGTAACAGTTTTAATTTACTTAAAAGGAGATCTTCCTAGGCCAGTTCAGAAATGATAAAGTAAATTCTTGGATCAAAAGAAGGAAAGGAATCTGTAGGCTACCCAGTAAAAAAACTCCTCTGCCCTGTCAAAGCTTACATTAATATATTCTGAGAAAAGTAAGAATTAGTCAAAGCTCCTTAGTAATCCTAAGAATTTGTGATCAAATGTTGTGAAAGAAATTGCAGGAAATCAACTTAATCTTCTCACAGGTTGCAACATTAATATATAGATAGCTAAAAATGAAACAAGTTGAAGCTACATAGAAAGAGTAAAAGTCTAACACTTCTTCCATTGTTCATTAAATTTTCTGCATCACCATGATAAATAACATATTTTTGCTTCTGTCCACAGAAAAAAATCAATCTATTAATGTAATAAAATGGATGTCAGTAATGAAACCATACCTTTCGAATTCATCCTTCTTGCATTTTCAAACAGTAATGAATGGAATTTCCTCCTTTCTGGATTTCTGCTCATCACTTATCTCTTCACATTCATGGGGAATATTCTCATCATCACATTTGTCTCCATAGAACCAAGCCTTCAAACTCCCATGTACTTCTTTCTGAGCAACCTATCCTTCCTAGATGTCTGCCAGACTACCACCACTATTCCACAGATAATAGTTCATCTGATCTCAGGGACAAATGCCATATTGTATGAAAGATGCATTATGCAACTATTTTTCCTTGTTTTATTCATTGGTGCTGAGGCACTCCTGTTGGCTGCCATGGCTTATGATCGTTATGTTGCCATCTGCAATCCTCTGCACTACAATGTGGTTATGAATTACAAATTTTGTGCCCAGCTGGTGTCAGCTTCTTGGCTCACAAGTTCACTCAATGCCACCATCCACACCCTTCTCACATTGCGCCTGCCCCTTTGTGGTATCAATAAGATCAACTACTTCTTTTGTGATATCTCTCCTCTCCTAGCTATCTCCTGTGGAGATATCTCTGGTAATATTATTGCCATGCTGGCTGCTAGCCCTGTAATGGGCATCGGACCAGGCATGTGTGTCCTCCTTTCCTATATTCACATCATCTTGAGGGTTCTGAAAATGCATTCTTCAGATGGGATGAGGAAAGCCTTTTCAACTTGTGCTTCTCATCTCACAGTTGTCTTGCTTTTCTATGTCAGTTCTATTTTTCAATATATCAGGCCCTTCTCCAGCTACTCACTCAGCAAGGATAGCAAGATTGCCCTTTTTAACAACATACTCTCCCCTTTGTTGAACCCACTGATCTACACCCTCAGAAACAAAGATGTGAAGGAGGCACTGCAAAAGAGAATGATGAAGAAAATACCATGAAATTCTTGGCTTTACTTTTTAATTGTGCCGGGGAGTAGAAGTTGGGGTTTGGAGCAGCATAACTAGGGCCCAGAATCTCATTTTATTGTGATGGTACAAAAAGGTATCAGGGTTGTATACCAAACAGTGCTGTAAAAAATAATATTAAAATAAATAAAAATCCTGCCATCAAGTTTTTTGGCTGGACACCACCAAAGGTTACATATTTTTGCTTCATATTTGGTACACTTGAAGATTTGTTTAGAATGTCAGTTGGTGCAGGTTTCTGGGGTTACTTGATTGTTGCTAAGATGCCCAATATTTTCTTTCCAGTCAACGCTCCTTTAGGATTTCTCAGCCTCCCTTTCTCCCTTTGATTCCTGATTGGAAAAAGACTCTTGAGAGTTTAC